TCTTTGGCAGTTTCACATCCTTGAATCTGCTCAAATTCCTCATGACACACACTGCTGAATATTATTGATAGTGCCTTCTGATTCATAGCAGAATCTTTCTTCTCTTGAGGAGTCCATTGACTCTTTGGTTTTGCTGTTATAACTCCATCAATAACATCAGTTGGTCGAGTCCATCCATCAGTAACCGCACTCCAAGTGTCTTCATCTAATCCTCGGATGTAAGAGCTGATTTTAACTTTCCAATGTCCATAGTTGGTTGAGTCAAGCATAGCTGTCTTTCCAAGCGATTGTAGATCTTTGAAACCTTCCATCGTGTGTATCTGAATCGTACACCGATATGAGAGGAACACTTTCCTACGATCGGTGACCTGCTCTGATACCAAATGAAAATACTCCACACACGATACAATAAATCAGAAATACCAAAACTGATTCTATTTCTTTGATACGAGTCAAATACACTTCAGTACTTTCCAAGTAGTATTCAACCCTCACCAATTTCACTCCCCCTGAATGAACCTTAGTATCACAAGAAATTCTACCAGCCCAAAGACACACTGTGCACAGCGCACACCACGTGTCACCCTAGAACTCGTCTAGGCACGGAGCGGTTCGCCTGTAATTTCAAGGCTCCCCCTCAAGTCGATCTCACCTTCTCTCAGTTCTCACTCACCGGTGTTTCCCTTACACAAGATCTTTTTCAATGTCTCTCTCAAAAACCCTTTTTTCTTGACAATCTCGACAACCATCCTAATGTCTCGTTCCTTGCATATATACGCCTTTTTTCTTTGATTCATCAAATATCCTCTCCATAAACATTCTTCCTTTTCTTCTTGAATATAGCTGCCTTCTTTCCATTTTCCATTTTCTTTCCTTATGTGCTTTCCTTGCTTAGCTCCACATTTCCATTCTCTTGTTTGATCTTCTAGATGCTGAATATGCACTTCCCTTGCTTCAACAAAAATATGTATTACAATAAAGAAATGCTGAAGAAAATAAAGTGATTTTTAACATCCGCTATCCACTGCAAGGACAAATCTTCCCTTTCTTGTATTTCTTCACATCAAACTCTTGCGACCACATTTGCACAAAAAAGATTAGTATAAGAGATGCCATTCATCTACCGGAGAGGGACACTTGGGATGTGGAGCCCACACGAGTTCCGACACACACGTGTGAAGGGGAAAGTTCCAAGCCAGCTTACACGTTAAGAGTCAAACATGTTGGACTCTCTTTTGTTAGTAAACTCCAAAAGGAGGCAACGAGACAAAGAGAAGAGGACGACAGTGATGAGACGTCCCAACGTCCGACCTAACCAAAGCGCTAATGAGCGTCTTCTCACACGTGCGTCTCTCTCTTATCTTGACAACCCACGTTCACATTCCAACATACACGTCTCTGCATCTCTCCCTCTCTCTCTCTCTCTCTCTCTCTCTCTCTCTCTCTCTCTCTCTCTCTCTCTCTCTCTCTCTCTCTCTTGTAGATCTCCAATGTTTTGGAAATATGTTAAGGCATACTGTGTTTGAGGAATTAACACTAGCTCAACTGCTCAAGTGGTTTGAATCATGCTCAAATGATTGTTTTTTTAAATGATTTGCTGGTTCAGAGAAAAAATGATCCGAGTTCAAATTCTTGTCTATACGAATACAAACCATATCTTAAATTTTTTTTGGATAACTGAGTATTCTGCATTAAGACTCATATTAATCTTGGGATTGGAAACCAACCATATGATTTGGATTATACATTCCCTCTTTAAATTTGAGGTTCAAATTCGGAGTGGGACAAAACCATATCTTAAGTTTATGTGCAAATAAATGTTATTTATAAATATCAAATGGTGACGCTTAATGACAACGGCTAATAAACGAAACAAATGATCATACAAAAAAAATCTAAACAAATGATAGGATTTTCAGACAAACTTCCCATTCCGTGGAGGCATTGATATCAAAACTACTTTGAGCCTTCAGAAACCTACATAAATATGGTTTTATATTGTTTCTATTTCTTGTCATTGTTTTGTTAAATGTTGTAAATTTTAGTTACATGTACTAATTAAATTTTGTACAGATGTTGAAGATGAAAATTATATTAAGTTTAAGAAGGTGATTCAGTTTTACAAAGTGTGTGACGGTGAAAGTAGAAATTTATATCTTGTTTGTTTGTATTTAAATTGGTGGATTATAATTGTATATATGTTTATATTTGATATTCTTTTATTTATGTCCAGTTTGTATTGAATACAATTATAATTTTATGCTATGTATGATTTTTCAAATCAAAATTTAAATATTTTAAAATTTTATTTTTTGCTCAATATACATGTTGAGTTTGCGAGCTGATTCGTTTGGTTTGGGAAGTAGATTAGTCGAGCTAGTGTTGAGTATTTCCAACTCATTTAAAAATGATAAAATCTAATTATATAGTACACGAACTCTATAAAATGTGTCGAAAAATATAATTTTAAATTGACAAATAAATACACCAAATGTTAAGATTTGCCAAAAAAATATAAATTCTTCGAATCGAAAGTAATTTCATACATGATGATTAATTACATCGTCAATAATTCTATTTAAATTGTTTGAAATTGTTTCATGTACAATTTTTAACAATTCTTGACAGGTTTTATTCGAAAGCAATTTCATGTTCCGATCTTAATTAACGATGCCATTGATGTGTGTGTGTGTTTTTTTTACACATTTTAAATATTTGGTGTATTTATTCGTCAAGCTAAATATTGACAATTTTTTTTTTGGCGTATTTTACAATGAAAGTGAGCTGAAATGAGCATTTTACAATGAAATCCGAACAGAAAGAAACACACGACGAAATCGTACATGTTGCCACGAGCCTCGAAGATTGAGTAATGAAGGATTGGATGTTTAAACGACTTTATCCAAACGATATCTAATTGAGTAATGATTGATTCAGTGTTCCACAAATGAAGCTTTAAATAATGGTTGGTATTTTATGTTGTATATAGAGGAAAGCAACTAGCCCCACGAGAAGGCGCAAATAGTGTTTCTATATATAAGTCCTGGGTGGGTGTCATCTTATTGTCGATTAGTGAAATCACGTAATGTATGGACCATGCAAAATGCCATGCATTCACGTAACATCAAATTGCGCTTAGGGACATAACAAAAAACTAAGAAACAAAGATATGAAATGAGTGATGCTTTTTAATTTTCCTTCATGTCTCTATCAGAGTAAAGCCTCTGCAAATGGCTCATCTGCCAAATAGTCTTATGTCCCTATATATTATAACTCAAAAGCAGTACAATTTTAACAATTATTCTTATGCAAAACATATACATACATACATACATACATATATATGTATATATGTCATGAACAGCTTATATCCATTTTCTCTAGTCCCTACCAAAATGTCCTCATGCTGAACAATGGTATGGAATAACACTCGAAACCCGCAAGCGAGAGAAGAGAGAAATTATTAAACGTAGGGACGGAACAACTAAGATTAGCTGTTATCGCCGCCTCCAAATTCTCGACGATACAGAACTATCAGGGGATCAATGACGAAGATCTCGAGCACAAAGTATGGTATATAACAATGGAGTAACTTATCAAGCATCGGACAGACAGTGATTTGATTCGAGAAGCTTATTCTTCTTCATTAGATCGATGGCGAATCCGATAAGACAATGGATTGAACAAGCTGAGAAATCCATCAACAAAGAGACTGATATCGTCTTTTCAATCCGATAAGACAATGGATTGTCGACATATTCGCACCATAGTAATCAGTTAGTGTTTTAATAATAATAATAATAATAATAATAATAATAATAATAATAATAATAATAATAATAATAATAATAATATGTATGCAAATATGTATGCAAATGGGCAATTGAGCGTGTAGCAGAATTTAAATATGTTTTCATCTCTGTTTTTGCCTTTCGGTACGATCCTAGTTGTTGTACCGTCTTCGAAGATGAGTAATTTCTCAAACTCAGAAATCGACCGTTAGCTCGTCAAGCGCTTGAATGCGCGTTTTAGTTTGGGCCCAATTACTCGGCCCATTTAACAATGCTTGTTCAATTTTAGAATTTTTTTCGACAGATTTCAAAAATATTCAAATCCACCGACATTCTCTCCATTTAAAAAGCATAATTCGCCTTGTATTACTTACCCTCTTCATCTCTATTCTCTCTCCCTCGCTCTCTTCATCTCTCTCCCTCGCGCGCTCTCTCTCTCTCTCTCTCTCTCTCTCTTCTTGTTCTCTCTTTTCTTCTTGCAAGTTGCATCTCCACCGGAAGTTCGCCCGTAAGGTCGCAATTGTACGTTCTACTTCTTGATTCTTGATTGAGAAACCATAGATTTCAAATTTAGGGTTTTCTTTTTCCCGTCCATATTCTATTTCTGCAAGAACAAGGCGTGAGTTGCCTGACTAACCAAAGCAGACAATGCTTCGCTGAGGATCTACGTTACCAGGTTAGTTCCGTTATCATCCACTTTCACATGACCGGTTTTTCGTCGGTTTTGTAGGCTAAGGATCAAATCTGCACAGGAGACATGCAACGAATAAGTATCTCTTTCAGGCATGACAGAATTCTGCAAACTCATTTGGGCAAAGAGAAAAGGTGCATACAATGTTTAATTTTGAATTTGTTTGTGACTTCCTTCTTCCATGAAGCCTCGCATGGACGGATTAAGCTTCCGTAACTGATGACTTCTGGTTAGTAGTTTCCTTCTCTCTCTCCAATTGTTTTTTTCTTCCCACTGCAGTCACACGTAATTGTTCTAAAACAAATTTCTGTCTTATTCTAACGACGAACGTATGAAGAATGGTGTTTTACGTCATGGACACGCCAGAAAAGGTAAGTAGAACCTCATCATCATCATTCGCATTTGCATCGTCGTCATCATCATCATCTTTAGCATTTACAGCATTAGCGTTGCGTTTGCGTAATCATCATCATCTTCATTAGCATCTGCATCGTCAACATGGCATTGCATTATCATCAACATGACATTTGCATCATCACCATCATCATTTGCATTTGCATCCTTAACATGACATCTGCATCATCACAGCACATCATATCAGAATTGTCACCATACACATAACAACACATCATCTCATATACCGAAATCATCACCATATGAAACAACACATATCAAAAGTCACCATAAAACGCATAACAACACATCATCTCATATCAAAATCATCTCCACATATGTAACAACACATCAAATCATATCAAAAGCATCACACAACACATCATCTCATAATCAAAATCGTCACCATATGAAAATGTCCACCATATATACGTAACAACACATCAAATCATATCAAAATCATCACAAAACTCGTAACAACACAACATCTCATATAGCAAAACCATCACCATATGTGTGACAACACATCACATCATATCAAAATCATTGTCATACGCATCATCGTTTGCGTATTCATCATAACGTAATTGCATATTCCTCATACTATCATCGCATCATAACATCATCATTTGCATATGCATCATAACATCGTCATTTCATATTCATCATAACATAATTGCATATGCATCATAATATCATCGCATCATATTTGCATATGCATCAACATGTAACATCAAAGGACAAGATATAACATCATTTGCACATGCATCATAATATATAATTTATCCACCATTCTTCCTCTCGCTGCACCGTCTCAAACGACGAGAGACCATCTTCAGAAGAGCCTTTGGGTCGTTGTGCCGTAGACACCATGCCATACCTATATCGTTTGGAATTTTTTGGGTATTTTACATACTGACCTCTAGTTGATTATGTGGCCTATATCTTGATTCTTGTGTGATGGAGATAAATCTTAGGAAAGGGTGGATAAATTGATTTTGTTCTTGAAATGGCTTCTGTCCGATTTTCTTCGTCAGATTATAACTGGCTAGTCAGGTCTGTCATGGTTGTTCCTTTCTCTCCCCTTTCCATATGTTTTGCTAATTCGTATTTTAGTAAGCACCAGTTTATTATTGTGCAATCATATTGTTTTTGAAGTGTGATAACATTATGATAATTTTACTTTGGGTAACTTTTCTTTCTTCAATGTTTTCTACAGCCGAGTAGACAAGTGTTACCATAAGACAGTTGTGTTCGATATCTTTGCTATGCAAAGATTTCTTCATGTAGCTTTTCCATCGGGAGAAGGATAATAGTGGTAGGTTTTTTGTTGTTTTACTTTTATTTGTCTGCTCAATAACTCACCATCCGCATCTTTATTTCATAAAGATTACTTTGGGTTGCTTTTACCAACAAAAAAAACTACGATAGTTGCAGGATTGCTTTTTTGTAGTTTTCTTTAATCAATGTGGTACATTTCTATCTCCATTAAATGTGTATACATTTTTATTTTCTTAGGCAACCCATGAATGCTTAGATTTAGTTGAAGCACAGGGTGGAGCTATTTGACTAACTCAAAGCAGAAAACGCCTCACCAAAGTGTCTTGATGATCAAATTCGTACTCGAAATATGGCTGGTAGGACCAGAAACCTCAGGCCTTGACTTTGATCATATGAGGTATGCAATCCTCAGACCTTGACTTCGGTCATATGAGGCAACTTACACATTGTAAGAGATGAATGTCGAATATAACAAGTTTGTTAGTTGTTACACTTGATAGGAAAACAATTTGGAATGGCCCGTTTGGAACTTTTTCTACTACGTCTACTGTGTTTATGCATTGGTAAGGCATCCATTGTAAAACTTTTTCTCCTTCTTTTTTGTGTGTTTGCTCTCATAAAATTGCTACTCCTACTCCTTGGAGTAAGACTTTGTTTTTCTTTTTTTATTTCAGTTCTCTCTTCAACTCCCAGGATCACAAAAGGCTTATATATATCTTCAAGTATGATCAACGCATAAATCTCAGGCAGAAACTAGCGAACTGGTTTGAAATGTGAAGTATTCATATGTTTCTTTTGATTTGTTATGGCATATATTTTATATTCCGGTAAATGCACATCTTCTATTTCATAGGTATGTTCCTCATAGAATGGTAAACCGGTGACGAGATATGTTGATTGCAAGCACAGGAATTCAGCCAAAAGGTACTTACACATTCTTCTTTTGGGTATTGCTAGTGTGTTTTGTAGTGTCATTTCATTTTTTGTTTGTTTTATGTCCTCCAACTTATCTAGTTCCCTCAAGGTTTAGAAAAATGACATAGAAGATCATACAATTGGTCCAACTCCTCAGGTTGCAACCTAAAAAAAGGTTACAATTTGTCCTTAGTAGTTGTTTTTTTTTTAAGTTTTGTTTTCTTCTCTCAGATTGTGTACTTAAATAGTTTAGACGTGCTCTCTTCAATAGAATGTTCATCTCTCCTTCCTTCTCCATCTTCAGTGAGCCTCTCCATGGAAGACAAAATGCAAAACTTTTGCACTGCGTTGGGATTTTTATGCATTGGTAAGACATCAAATGCAATATTTTTGTTGCTTGTTTGTTTTGTTCCTCCTTAGAAAATTATCACTTGTCTGACTAAATGTTACTGGTTTAATCTTATGATTATAACAGTTTACTCTTATATCATGGAATAAGACTTTCTTTTTTTTTCTGATCTCTCGCTTTGGCCTTTCGGATTGCAGAAAACATGTGTTGTCAATCTTTTTTTTTATGATCTCTTGCTTTGGCTTTTCGGATTGCAGAAAACATGTGTCGTCAAGTATGATTAGAGGAGAAATCTCGGGCAAACATCGACGTACTGGTTAGATATGTGATCCATTCATTTATTTCTTTTCATTTGTTTTGGCATATATGTTTCTCCCTGCAAATACAAATCTTCTGTTTCAGAGGTGTATTTCTCATAAAATGTTAAACACTCGATGCGATATGTGGACCGTCAAGGGCCAAGCGCTGAAACGTATGGTGTATCGAACCACATGGTTATGATGAACTTGATGGATTATCGGACAATTAACTCGTTCGAAAAGGGGTAATTACAAATTCTTTTTTTGGGTGTGGCTAGCCGGATTTGTAATGTAATTTCATTTGTGATTTGGTTTATGTCCACTAACGTATCTGATTCTCTCAGGTTTCACAAAATGGAATAGAAGATTTTACATTTGCTAAAAAAGGCTTAGATATCAACTTCAAAGAAAGGTATAAACAATGTTGTACACAAGTGTATACATGTCTAATTTGAGCAAATGGTTTGCTCTAGATCGTGTTGCATTGTCCTAGTAGTTGCTTTTCTTATCTCATTTTTATGTTTTTTTTCCTTCTCATATTTAGTACGTAGGTTTTAGACGTGTAGTAATTAATGGTCCTAACTGATGTCTTTGGTTTTTTAGTTTGTTCAATACATTTCTGTAGCTATTAATAGTTTATACATTCTTTATTCTTCTAAGACAGCTCATGAAATGTAGTAGAGATTCAGCGCAAGAACAAAGCGAAGCTGCCTGACTTCCAAAGAAAATGCTTCATTTTGGAGTTTACATTGCCAGGTTAGTTCCGTTACCGACCACTTTTACATGATCGGTTTTCCATCAGTTTTTGAAATCTAATGGTCAACTCTGTACAGGAGATTCACTCCCTCTGCACCATGGAACCGAAGATGGACTATGGCATGCTCTCTTCAATAGAGTGTTCATCTCTTGTTCCTTCTCCATCATCAATTTTCATGTTAGAATCAGGGTCATTGCTGACAGACCATGAACCTCAAGGACAGCGGCAAAAAGGTATCAAGTGAACACTTGCATATAAATATTCTTGGTTAAGTGTATCATGTACGTTTTATTTTGCGAGTAATAATGGTCCTAAGCTGCTACTCATACGTGGAAGGAAATGATGTCTTATATAACCAATTGTCTTACACCTGATAGAAAAAGATATTGGAAGGGCTCATATCAAAATTGAGATCCCTAGATCCACCATGTCAATGCACCACTGCTTGATTGTAAAATCTTATCATTCATTTTTGTTTCTCTTCATAAAATTGTTACTTAATAAATTGATATTTCCGGACTAATTTTGTGATCATAACAGTTTACTCTCTCTCTCCAAGCGCGGACACTGTTTTTCTGAAGAAACAAGCTCTAAGCTGATAATTCTGGTTGATCATGTCTTCCAGTTTGTTTAGCGAGCAATCTCAGGTAGATGGTCATTTGATGTGCTCATATGTTTCTTTCTTTTATTAATTATTGAATGTGTCTAATGTATATGGAAGTTGTCAATTACCTGTCCTCTGTGATTTTTAGCATGCAAGGTGAACAAGCAATGATCCAAAGATTATTTCGGCTGAAGAGAGGTTACTTACGCTTCCATCTTTCATGTGTTGCCGAAGCTGTTTCAGAGTGGCATTTGTTTTTTTTATATGTCCTCTAACATAAATTTCTGATTCTCTCATTCTCTCAGGTGATAAAAATATAACAGAAGATTTTTATACAATTCTCCGACATATTTGGGCTTGCAACCCATATGGAAAGGTACATACAGTGTTATATCATAATCATCATCCTCTGAGATATGATAAAATTTGAATAGAAGATTTTCATACAATTCTCCAACACATTTGGGCTTGCAACCCATATAGAAAGGTACTATGCTTTGTTGGGTTATACATGTTTTCAAGGCTAAAGATTTTATATGTGCCTTTTTCCTTTAGTGAGCCTCTCCATGGAAGACAAAATGCAAAACTTTTGCACTGGGTTGGGGTTTCTATGCATTGGTAAGGCATCAAATGAAATATTTTTTCTGCTTGTTTGTTTTGTTCACTCTTAGAAAATTATCATTTGTCTTGCTAAATATTGATGGCTTAATCTTATGATTATAACAGTTTACTCTTATATCATGAAATGAGTCTTTCTTTTTTTCTGATCTCTCGCTTTGGCTTTTAGGATTGCAGAAGACATGTGTCGTCAAGTATGACTAGAGGAGAAATCTCGAGCAAACATCGTCGTACTTGTTAGATATGTGATCTATTCATTTATTTCTTTTCATTTGGTTTAGCGTATATGTTTCTCCCTTCAAATACAAATCTTCTGTTTCAGAGGTATGTTTCTCATAAAATGTTAAACACTCGATGAGACATGTGGACTGTCAAGGGCCAAGCGCTGAAACGAATGGTGTATCGAACCGCATGGGTATGATGAACTTGATGGATTATCTGGCAATTAACTTAACTCGTCCAAAAGGGGTACTTACCCATTCTTCTTTTGGGTGTGGCTAGCCGGATTTGTAATGTAATTTCATTTGTGATTTATTTTATGTCCACTAACTTATTTGATTCTTTCAGGTTTGACAAAATGGAATAGAAGATTGTACATTTGCTCAAAAAGGCTTAGATATCAACTTCAAAGAAAGGTATAAACATTGTTATATACATGTGCGTACATGTCTAATTTGAGCATATTGTTTGCTCTAGATCGTTTTGCATTGTCCCTAGTAGTTGTTTTTCTTTTCTATTTTTTTTCATTTCTATGGGAATGAGTGCATAAATAGTTTAGAGGTCAATGGTTTTACATATCTTTCTTCTTAAATTTGCCTCCATGGGAGAAACCAACTCCAAACAGATGAATTTGGTTTTTATAGTCTGTTCAAATGATTTCTATAGTTATTAGCAGTTTATACATTTTTTTTCCTTAGACAGCCCATCACATGAAGTAGTGATTCAACATAAGAACGGGTGGAGTTGCCTAAGGAAGTTATATTATCAGGTGAGTTCCTATACCAGCCACTTTTACATGATCGGTTTTTGGATCAGTTTTGTAGTCTACCGATAAACTCTGTACAGGATATATAAAAGGCTTGTGCGTCTCAACTGGATCAGGATCATGGTCTGGAGACCATTGGAGAGTTGATAGAACTGCTAAGCTCAAAGACAGTGGTAATAAGGTATCAAGGGAACACTTAAAATCTAAATCTTCTTGGTTATGAGTATCTCCCGTTTGTTTTTTAATTTACGAATAATAATGGTCCTAAGATGCTAACCATACGTGAAATGAATTGATGCCTTATTTAAGCATTTGTCTTTCACCTTATAGGAAAAGAAATTGGAAGGGCTAACATCGAAATTGAGATCTCCTGATCTACCATGTTGATGCACCGAACGCTAGAATGTAAAATCTTCGCTTCTCATTAATTTTTGTTTCTCTTGGTAAAATTATAACTTGTTAAACTGGTATTGTTATGATTTTTATGTTCTAAATATATGTTTATACACAGAGCAAGTTGAAGCACATTGGCGTACCGGATAGTCTTGTGATATGCGTATACATTGCTCCAACTTCGTAGGCTATAACCCAAAGAAAGGTATAAACTATGAGCACACTTTTTACACTCGAATTTACTGGGCTAGGTCGTCAATCTAAGATGTCCTTTTTCTTCTTCTTCTTCATATTTTAGTAATTTTTCATATCTTGAATGAAATGCATAAACAGTCTTGGACTAATGATTTTGCATATTTTCTTTTTCAGTGAGCCTCCGAGGATAGGTACATACAACCCAAAGATTGTTTTACAAGTCTGCAAACTCATTTGGGCTTACAACACAAAGACAAAGGTACATACAAATGTTTAATTTGAGCATTATAATTTATATGTTGTAGCTCTGGCTTTAGGTGTTGGTGCATATTTCAAAGGTTATTCACTTTGTTTATGACTTTCTTCTTCAGTGAAGCCTCGCCATGGAAGGATTAGGCTCCCATAACTGCTGACTTCTGGTTAGTAATTTCCTTCTTTCTCTTTAATTATTTTTTGTCTTCCGATTTCTATCACATATAATTGTTCTAAGAAAATTTTCGTCTTCTCTTGTCGTAAGAAACAAATAGATTTCAGTTCTGGAATTTCGGATGTAAAACTCAGTAGGGATTTCGTTGGAGTGAGTCCCTTTGAACGAATTCGATTTTGGGTTTTGTTTCAGCGGCGTTCTTGGTGTCTACGTCAGATTCTAACTCAGACCACCAAACGTTCAACAGATGAAGAATGGTGTTTTACTTCATGGACACGCCAAAGGAGGTAAGTAGATCCTCATACTCATCACCATCCTCATCATCGTTAGCATTTGCATCATCCTCATCATCATCATTAGCATTTGCATTATCAACATTGCATTTGCATCATTCATCATGGTTGCATTTGCATCATCATCATGGTTTTGCATTTGCACCGCATCACATCATCATAAACATCAACACCGTCACCATCAGCATCTTGGCAGCATCGTATCGCGTTAGCATCGTCGGCGTGTCTCCTCACGAGCAATAACACGAGCAATAACATTAGCATCATCACAATATACCATCATCAAAATCATCATCGTCGACATCCACATCGTATCATTATCATAAGCTTTGGCAACATCGCATCATATTCTCTTAAAAAAAACATCGCATCATATCAGCAGCAACATCGCAACAAACCACCATCACTAGCATTGTCGCATCATATCATCGTCAGTGGCATCGACAATCACCTCGTATCAAAATCATCACCATATGCGTTTCACATATCCAAATCATCGTCAGTAGATTCTATGTTGTGGTTCATTACTTACTGTTCCGTAGGGTTGCAAAAGAGATTTGATAATAAATGGTCAGTGAATTCGTGACGTGATGGGATGGTTTTGCTCGAGGTGTTCATGTTATTACATATGTTATAACGCTACGCAATGGTTGATTATAATTAAGCCGATGGAGATGAACCGAATCGACTAACATAAATTTATGAACAATTTGTAAATATTTATAAACAAAATTGTCGTTGCTGCAAGTTTTGGGTCGTTCGAGCAATGGTCAAACCCAACACCGGATACGTACGTACATACATACATGTCTTTTTACTCATATTCAAAATGATCTTAAAGCGGAAGATTTGTTGCTTGTGGCTAATATTAATAATACACATCACAAGACATTATATCATACGACGGTCCAAAAGTGCTTTGTATAACTATATAGTAGAAAAATCTTGGTAAAATCCCAAAAGAACACCAAAATTTTCAATTTTGATAAAAAAAACACCAAACTTTTTAAGTTATCTAAAACAATACCTATACTATTTGAATCGTGTCATATTAATCACTCGGAGCAGACGTGGTTTCAAAATTGCCAATGTGGCATGCAATTATTTTTTCTGCAATGCCACATCAGTATACACATCAGAAATTAAATGCCACATAGACCAGAAAATTAAAAAAAAAACGGTTTGAAATGAACCCAAAAACAAAACTGGTTAATAAAATTTGATTTAAAAAAAAATAAAAACACCAATCTTGAAAAAAGGAACCCAGGTTTTGCTCTTGTTGCAATCCCCTTATGGAGACTTGATTTCTTTCCACTGAATATTTCGACAAAACCATCCAATAACCAGATAGTTAAAGTTGATGGCTTTTTTTTTTCCATTGCAGCCCAAAAACTCTAAAGCTTCAATCGTCTTCTTCTGTCTCAAGTTCTGATTTTTCCTTTTATATAGAAAAACTCAATTTCTCAACATCCAAATACTCTTCTTCCACCATCTCTTTCACAGATCTATCAGATAAGGACTGAAAATTCGTACATCATTCACCGGAAAACCTTCTGATCAGAGCCACTTTTCGTCTTCTCCGATTCTCCTCCACTTGTTCTCAGTTTGTCCTCTTTCAGACACATGTGCCGACAAAACTCACCCTTCAGAATCTCTCAGAAGCCCTCTGATGCATCGGATTCGAGAGATGGTTAGGACCTCGGGTGGTGAAATCTAGAATTTTTCGGTGGATTTCGATTAGAGACAATATTGGAGAAGAACAAACAATTTCAACGACATACCTTTTTTCCTCTTTTTTTGCTCAGTTTCTGAAAGAATGAGCAAATCGATGTAGTGAACCCGTTTGGTTTTTCGGTTCATTTTAATTTTTTGGTCTCTGTGACATTTAATTTCTGATGTGTATACTGATGTGGCATTGCATGACACATTGGTAATTTTGAAGCCACGTCAGCTCCGAATGTTTTTTTTTTGGGATTTTTCCAAAAACCTTTTATTAAATACGCACTACAATCGTATTGTTGCTTGAAATTTCAATCATATAATTTGTATGACTATATAAGAGAAAAATTTTATTAATGATAACGACCGTCCAAAAGTGGTTTGTATAACTATATAATAGAAAAATGACTCACGAGAGTTCGCGACGGTGACGAATTGACTCGTTAAACTCGTTCACAAACGATTTTTCAAAATGTCAACTCAGTCCGCCTCATTTTGATACACTGGTTACATTGGGCTTGGGCTCTATAAAAACTCAGTTCCGTAGCAATGTTACTAATGTACCCTCAAATATCACATTCATTTTGAAATTACATTAACATCACGCCGTTTCCTTTTCCAAACAGACATACATGGCGTTTGATCACCACGTTTTTTTTTCTTAAAACTTTATCTGCGGTCATTGGAATTACATAAAAAGTCAACAGAACAAAAGCCACACGTGTCGATTATTACAGCATGTACACATCTCGTTAGACACACACACACTTCCCAGCTCATAAACTCTCAATAGGAAAAAAAGCTTCAAACTCGCCGGAGAGAGACAGTTTTCACTTGGTAGAGAAGAACCTGCTGAATCCTCTAGAGGGTTTCTCGGGGGTGGGGGTGTTGGAGCTAGAAGAAGACGAACCTGACGACCTCGAATGCACGTGATTCACGTGCTTCGAACCAGCCGGTGATCTCATTGCGGGGTTGGTCTCCATGTCGGAAGCGCATTTGGGTGATTCCAAGAACCGAGGAACCTCGTCTGTCTCGCCGAGATCCAAATCTTGGATGATGTTCTTGCTGGTCTCTGTGCTTGAGATGTGTTCTTCTTCCGAGTGGTAGTAGTATTCGCTTTTCTGGCTGCTTTGGCTACGTGGAGATCCCATTTGTTCGGGCTGTGGACGTAGAGACTTCAGTTGCTTCCCCAATAGGAATATGGTTTCTTGGCACTCTGCAAGCTTCTCTGCTGCTGCCGCTAACTCTCTCTCCTGCAAGAGATCATCAACGTTTTTTGTTCGTAACGTTTTGAATCCAACCTTCAGAATCATTATGGGTTGTTGAATCTATACAAGGGTTGTTGTGTTTGTATGTGTTTTGGCAATATCTGTGTGTGTATTCGTGCATATGTGGGTGTGTGCATGCATCAGTGAGCAATGGAGAAAGTTAGGTTTAGTCAAGTATTTGATGTTGTGGGTATCTTCAATGATCAAAGAACTTGTAGCCACGAATCAAGAAATCAGGGGTTATACCGAGTGAGAATAGAAGTGAAACATGTAATTTGTACGAAAAATCTGAAAATGTGGAGATGAAGATAGTTTACCTGTTTGGGCTTGATATCATCATCATCGTTGGGAACAGGAGCAGAAGAAGAGTGCTCAATCCTGAAAATCAAAAACACAGATATGTTTTTGTATCAAAGAGTTAGCAGTAGAAACTAAAACATGTATTTGGATTTTTTTTTTAAATAATCTTCTGGTATTAGACAAAGTACAGAGATTGATTCATTCGTTCTTACATTTGAATCTGTTCTTGGAGTTCTTGGCACTTGGCAACAGCATCTTTGTGCCTCCTCCTTTCATCATCAAGCTCCTTGTGCAACTTCTGTATTGTTTCTTTCAGCTGATTCACTTCTATCTCTAGATCAGCTGCCCGTGCTTCAAGCGATCTGTATGACTCGGTCATACATTTGAGTTGTGTCTCCCCCAAGTTGTTTGACCTCTGAGCGGAAGCAAACTGCGATCTAATCTCGGCTAAAAGCTGCTCGGATTCTTGCAACTTTGATTTCACTTGTTCAAGATCCATTGCCATCTTTTCTTTTTCTGATTTCAGTTCTTCAATCTCCTGCAATGAGACGTTGCACGAATTGGTGTTCTCGTCGCAAGGAACCCCGGGATCGTTGATGTGGACACAACCATTTTGGTATATTTCTTTGGATGAATCTTTATCAACAGCCTTGCTCTCGGGTAACGCAACCTTGTCTATGCAATCTGGGCTCAGAGTTTCTTCTTCGGAGCCAGTGAAACCCGTAAAGTTTATTCTTAGCTCCATTGCTTCGGTCAAGACGTTAGAGAGATCAGAAACAAAGTCGTCCAGATTTTTCTCACCATTCAAAACATTGTTGAATGCGGCAGTAAGGCCCTCAACTTTTTCGCCGAAACCATTGCAGTCGAAAGAGGCGTCATGAACCGCCCTGGCCTCTTTGCCTAATAACAGTGCAAAGTCATGAATCCGAGAAAGGGCATTTACCAAGTCTTCATTGACACTCTGTATCCTTTCTTTCTCCGACTGGCAATCCTCCGATGGGATAATCTCTGAAATCGAATCGACCTCCCCTTCTTCAGGATGAATCCGCCTGTTAAATGCTATCTCAGCAGCAGGCTTGTGCTGATCAATGGAATCTTCCACTTCTTGCAAAATACTTTTGATATCCGCTACGATTTTTTTGAGGTCAGTATCAATAGATACAGATTCAAGAACCTTAGATATCTTAGACCGGAGTCCCATCACTGCTGGTTTATTTGCATCAGGCTCCACCATTTCTGCATTTGAATTCACCATGTCAGACAGTTGTTCGGTTGAAGAATCTTTGGAATCCATAGACCCATTTCTCTTGGAGTCATTTGGCGAACATGCTAACTTCTCCATTTCAAGAAAGTCGTCCATAAGCTCCATGTGACTATTAACACTGTCAGCCTTCTCGAGTGTTGCCAACTCCTCTTTCTTTGCTTGAGATGGGGTTGCTGACAAATACTCGCTGCCACTTCCTGAATCAATATTTCCATCTTCAGACACAGAGATTGAGCTTGCATTTTGGTTTGGACACACTTCATGAGAGGATCTCTGAGAACTAATTTGTCGGATTTGGGTTTCCAAACTTTGAAGCTTACTCATGCTTTGAGCACAGAGATCACGTGACTCCTGCAACTCGCTATTGCGCTTTGCAAGAGCTTCTTTCAGCATCTTTGTCTCTTCTTCCATTGCCAATAAACGTTCTGTTAGAAACTCGTTCTCCTTTTGGAACTTCTGTGGATCTTCAAGAGAAAAGTCAGAGCCAGACGGTGAATGTCCCCTTGGGGACATGCGTTGTGGACTTGAAGACTTGACAGGAGATCTCTTTATCCGGACATCTCCATTGTCCCTGCCTAAGCTCTCAACCTCTAGCTTCATTTGAGCAAGTGCGGCTGGTCCAGGCAGTTTCTTTCTCACAAGTCCTCTTAGTCGCTGGCACTCTGCTTCCAACTTAGCTATTTTCTTCACCCCTTCCATGTGTTGCTTGTTTGCTACTTCTGCAGATCTAATACTCATATTCTTCTCTTCATTGCGTATTTCCAACTCTTTGGAAACTACATGGACTTCATACTTGAGAGATTTTATTTCTCTTTCACATGATTCTAAATTGCTCTTCAAATGCTCGATCTCAGCCTCAGCCCGTGACTTATCTTCACTTATTTTGACCAGCATGTTGGACCGCTCTTGTAAAGTTCTGGAGAGAGCGTCGACAAAACCATATCTTAAGTTTATGTGCAAATAAATGTTATTTATAAATATCAAATGGTGACGCTTAATGACAACGGCTAATAAACGAAACAAATGATCATACAAAAAAAATCTAAACAAATGATAGGATTTTCAGACAAACTTCCCATTCCGTGGAGGCATTGATATCAAAACTACTTTGAGCCTTCAGAAACCTACATAAATATGGTTTTATATTGTTTCTATTTCTTGTCATTGTTTTGTTAAATGTTGTAAATTTTAGTTACATGTACTAATTAAATTTTGTACAGATGTTGAAGATGAAAATTATATTAAGTTTAAGAAGGTGATTCAGTTTTACAAAGTGTGTGACGGTGAAAGTAGAAATTTATATCTTGTTTGTTTGTATTTAAATTGGTGGATTATAATTGTATATATGTTTATATTTGATATTCTTTTATTTATGTCCAGTTTGTATTGAATACAATTATAATTTTATGCTATTATCAGATGCTGATCTTAGCAGCTCCTGTTCAAAGTCAGAGATTCTCTTTTCAAAGTCCAGCCTTAGTTTTTCCATTTGCTTGGTCTTGGTCGAAATAACATCTTGCAATTTCTGTTCATGGTCTTCCTTCAAATTCCGTATCTGCCTCATACACTCTTTTAGTGCGCCATCTAGATGTGCTGCACGATCTTCAGCAGTGAGCTTTGAGAGCGTAACAGATTCCAGGGTGCTCTTTAATGCCAAAGCCTCTGCTTCAGCTTTTTCCCAGCCTGAAATGAAATGTCAAAAGATTATACAATCAATTACGGTTTACATCAGAAACAGCAATAGGGTGAAATGTGTCTCTATACCTGAGACAGCATCCTCAGCAACTTTGGAGTGTTGTTTTACCAAGGCCTCTTTTGCAGTAATCTCGGTATTTGCAGCAGAAAGCTTTTCATTCAAATCCTTAATCTCCTCATTCAGGCCCTCGACCTGCTCTTCATATGTCTGAACCTGTTCGTCATAGGTCTGAACCTGGTCTTCAAATTGCTGAACTTGATCATCATATGCCTTAACCTGCTCCTCATAAGACTTGACTTGAACCTCATATGTCTTCATTTGCTCCTCCAGACCAGTGAGATGTGTATACTGCTCCACAGAAATTTGGACAAACTTTGGCTTCTTGACATTATCCTGCTTCTATCAGAAGCAAACTAAACTAAGGATCATTTGTCGAAATATACAAAAGCAAGACTGTTCCCGTCATTACAAAAGAGATCCAGGGAACAACAGGCAAAAAACACAAACCGCATATGGGCACAATAGGATACCTGGTCAACATGAGAATTAGCAACAGCAGCTTCTAGCACAGAAGCTGTTTTGTCAACTTTTTCAGATGACTTTTTCTTCCAAGGCCAACTCCGGCGGTCCATAGCGATCTGCAAATTATGGAAATGTGAGTGTAAAGACAGGAGAAAGCTGCATACGAGAGGTTCTCAAACGCTCAACGGAACAAAGATAATGTGTGTTCATCACATACAACTACTTTTGTTTCAGTTAACAAAACTCTGTGTCCTGGGAATGAAGACTTCAAGAAACAAAACCAGATAATTTACCAGTTCATTTCACCAAACAACCATTGTAATTTTAACTGGATTGAAAAATCATGGGTTCCGAGTGTTTTCACCCCTAACCTTCAATACTACAGTTGCAGATCCGAGCGCTTTTTTACCCCAACATTTTCTCAGCAACCAAACAGTGGCTACATCGTACAGAACATATCACACTCTACAGGTAATTGTATACATGCAAATACGTCTTGTCACGCGCTAGTGTTTCACTTTCGAAGGAACCCAGATCCAAGAAAACACAAGAAACACACGCAACAAGACAGAAGAAACATGATTTCCACAAATCTGATAATCACCGAACCCTAGAAACTGTAGATTGCAAAACAAGCACAAAGGTCTTTAATTAAATAACATCCATAAAAATTGGAGGAAAACGTCAAGAATGAGGGAAGAACGCATAGCTGTTCTGAAATGTTCTCAGCTGCATAGTGGCAAAAGTGACTTACTAAAACGGGAAAAATCAGCAAGAGAAGGAAAACTCACCGACAGGGAGATTGAAGGAAAAATAGAAAGCAAAATCACTCGAGAACATCAGAAACAGTGAATCTACTTTCACGTAAACAACAAAAATCGAAGCCAGAAAACCAACAGTTAACAAAAAAAAAAAATTTGGAACCACGGAGAGAAGATGAGACAGCATCTTCCGAAGCTTACATCGGGGAAATGTAGATTCTGAAATCGAATCCGGAAGATAAACGGAGCTTGAAATCGGAAAGAGAAGCCAAGTTCTCCAACTCAAGAGTTGAATGTTACGCAATGGAGAGATCTGGAGACGCTGAAACCGATTTCCACTTTTTCTTATATATTTGCTTAAACGCTTCGTGTCGGAGAAAGTATGTCGCCGGAAAAGCAAGCGTCGGCGGCGGTGGCGGTGGCGGTGGCGGTGGCGGAGGAAAAGAGAGAAGCGAAGAGAGACTGAGGTGAAAATGGTCTCAGTCTCTGGTTAATGTGACAAAAACTTTAAAGGCCCTCATTGAAATTAGAAGGAAAAAAAACTTCAAAAGCCGAAACGTTGCGAAAAAGCTTGAAAAAGCATCTTCTCCTCTTTTTCTTAAAAAAAACTAAAAAGTAATAATCTAAAATTAAAATAAATATAACAAAATTTGTGGTGCTTGGCAGATGTGACACATTCATTCAAATTTCAACCCAATGAGAGCTTCTAGATGACGTCATCATCCATAAAACTAAACATGTAATGTGCAACCTTTTATAAAAAAAATATATATTTTTTTTGTTTATTCCCCCAACCTTTTATTAAGATATATAAATATAATTATGATCAATTTAGGTATCCTATGAGATAAATCCTGGAATATATTAATATACTTTATAGGTATACTAACAATTAGTAGTTTTGTTGAATGGTGTGTTCCAGTCATATAAAAAAAATTAATAAAAAAACATTTTAATGTATTTTTGTGAACCTAATTAAATAAATGAAATGAAATGAAATGGTTAGAGGGAGGGGCATAATGGACAAAAAAAAGTGGGCCCACAACACAGGAGTCCTTGTCTTTGTTAGATACTCTCTCCATCTACCACTCCGTTCCCATTCTATCCTCACAATTGGAAACCTACGTCTGTCTTCGACTTAGGATGCTTTCTTGTTTCCATTTGTATTCTCTATACAACATTGTGTGCGTATATATGTGTATATATACACTATAAATTCTGTAAATACTTCGAATCTCTTTTTCATAATTTATAGATTTAGATTTTTTTTGTTTTGAATAAATTACATCCGATTTGTTTGTTTTAGTTTGATTCCATATTTTAATGTTTTTTTTTCATTAAAAAAAATTATGTGCGTTTAATTAGTTTTAGTTCAAACTCTATTGAAATAATAATAACAAATTATGAATAATATTTTTAACAATTATTTTATTAAATTATTTGTGCGTGTAAATAACAAGACGTTGATAAGGAGATCTCAAGCAAAAATGCCTAAAAAAGCAATGACCTTTAGTTTGGCAAGTAAAAAAGCGAGAAGAAATCCCAAGATCTTTACTATTTTTGTCCTTCAACTGTATGGCTCAAAATGTGCAATAAAATTATAAATGTATATAGTTTTTATTCTGCATTCATATAGTATAAATTTTATTATTTGAAAAAAATATTACGTGGTAAATCAACAAAAAAAAATCAACATGGTTAGTTTTTCACATCTGAATATGTCTGCAGGTCTTTAGCTATAATGTTTTAGACAAAATAAGTATGAATATTATTAAATTTAGTTATAATTTTTAGTCTGACAATATGAATAAATATTGAAATTATCAAATTTGTTTTTACTTCAAATGGTTAAAAATATTTCCTTCAAACATCTATCTTTACAATGAAAAAATTGTATGAAAAAGGATAAAAATTACTCTTGAAATTTTGTAAATTAGTAAAAATATATATATATATATATTTGTGGCACAATTTTCTAGTTTTTCATTAATATGATAAAAGTCAAAGATAAGAAGTGGAAAAAGTCAACAGTGTCCAAGTTCAGGACATCATCTCATTTCAGCCGTTGGATTCGTTCACTTGAACGGTTGAGATTAGTTCAGAATAATTTCCGTGATGAAAAACGTTTAGTATTAGAATCGTATACATATTTTTCATTACCGACTGAACAATAATTTCAAATTTGTTATAAATAGGTCATTTATAGATCTTAAAAACATACAATTTTTAAGGAAAAAATAAGAGAAAAATCATTGTTAATTATTATCCTAAACAATTGATTTCTAATTCTGTCGTTTATGATCTATTTTTTCTTATTCCAAATTATCCTCGTGGATAAATTAAATTGTTTACATTGTGAAAAAAGATCAAAATGTTTATATTTGAATATGGTTCAACCGCAAAGTAATCCAGTCAAAGTTCAATACACACTTGTATTAATTTTAAAATTTTATGGTAAATTCATGGCTTCAATTTATATTAAAACCTAAATATTTTTTAATATATTTTTAACTAGCAAGTTTATAGGAATTAACTTAGATGTATGAAATCACCGTAAAGTAGATAAATTAAATTATATTTGTTTCTTTATTTTCCTAATATAATAGAGTTTTATAACTAAGTAGCTCGATATAATTAAAAATCTGAACTAGAAATGTTCTCAAATGTGATCAAAGATCATTATTTGAAATTCCGATCTGGCTAAATTTTTTAATTAAAGAAATGTTTTACGTAATAAACAGAGTTTAGTTCATATAATAGATATGACTTATTCTAATTGTTTATATAATCCTTCATTAATAGCATTAATTATTGGGCGTGTTCTTCTGCACGCGTTTATTGGGCGAAGTAATCATTTTCTTTGTTTATTTTCTCTAAAACGACAAAATGATTAAAACAAATCGTTGATGAAGATAAGACGGCAACAAAAGGTAAAGAAAATAAAATAATTTACGTAACTATGCAAATACAAAATCAGTGGATAAAGAAAAAAAAATACTAAAAAAGTGTTTGCTTCTTTTTAAATACTATTATCCAAAATTTCAATTTGCAATAAAAAGTAATTTTGATTTTTTAATATAAATTATAGACACCAATATATAAACATATTTTTACAATTGAAAATTATTTAGTTAAACATTTTTAATAATTGTGTTAAAAATATATAATGTTATGTTTTTTATTTAACTATAAAACACAAATTCACATATAAAGATAGTTTTTCCCGATATATTGAGTTCTAAATTTGTCACAAAATTTTGAAGCAATTCTGTTTTCCCTAAAAATATATATGTAATAAGAATCAAATTATATAATTAAAATGTAAATAAAGATGATTAAAAAAGAATCGATTATTTTGGAACAGACAATTACTACCGTGCCTTTATTACCTGAAAAATATTAAAAATATTTTTTCTTTACCGGTGTTTAATTCTGAAACAAAAAATGACCTAAAGAAGAGGAAGTGACAAACACGCGCGTAGATGGCGCGTGGAGCTTGAGTAATAAGACAGCGATTCAGCGACAGAGCAAGGGAGCTAAAAAAGAAGAGCAGAATCCAAGGCAATGACACTGTAGTTTGTTTCACACACGGAGAAGAAAAAAGAGGCCCCATAAAAAAAATACGAATCATTAAAAACATTTATTAAAACAATTTGAGAAAAAAAAAAGAAAAAAAATTAAAAACGAATAAATGTGGGGCCCACCCATATTGCCTTTATTATATTTTGTCGCACGTGGGGCCATTTTTTTTTTTTACTATCACACTTACCTGTACTCACACATGTGAAGCCCAAAACGACTGCGTTTTGATGGTTATTACTGCGTCGGTGGTGGAGACAAGAGAGAGAGAAGACTCGAGAGAAACAGTGACGCAGAAGAAGAGATATTAAACAACAATATTAAGTGGGTCCCACAGTCATAAATAAAATTTCTGAAATTACTATACCCAAATGTTGCTCTTTTATTACGGTGGAATATAATTTTTAATGTGTTAAACTGATCATAGTACTATTTCCTCTTTCTTTATTTATAAAAAGTAATATATCCTCTTAAAAAATTCTCATTATTTTATTAGTTATTGACAATTTTTTTTAATTATTTTTTGTTTTTTTCTTATTTTCTATTATTAATCTACACCTAAAAACTCTTAAATTTGTAAACTATAAACTCAAAATACTCTAAACCAATTATAAATGTAAAATATAAACAAATTATAAATTAAAATCCTGAACTTAATATTATAGATCTTGAAATTTGAATTTGAATTTTACGATTTAAAATTTAAAATTGTTTTAGATTTAAGATTGAAGTCTGTTTTATTGGATGTTTACATTTTGAAATTTAGTATTATGATTATAAGAAAATTAGTATTTATGATTATAAGGAAATTAAGAGCTGTAAAATTAGTTAGTGATGTAAAACGGATTAGTTCGGACCGATTCGTCTCGAGCCAGCTCATTTTTTGCTCAGTTCGTTCGGCCTTTTTTTTTACGAGCTAGAAAAACTCTGACCCAGACCAAATTATCCGAACTCCGAACTGACTCGCGAACTAGCCCGTTTTTATCTAATTATCCGAATTTTTTTAAAAATTATATGAAAATTAATAATTTAAAGAATACAAAACAATATTTTGAAATCATTCAAGATAACATAAAATATTTAACATAACAATTTATAAAACTATATCTAAATTAAGAAAAATGAACAAAACCAAACCAACATAAAAAGTATAATACACCAACAACATCAAAATATAATAAAAATATACACCAACATCAACATATCATAAATTTTAATTTGCTATATAAACCGAAGAAGTGAAGAAATTAAAGTATGAAACCCTAATATTTTTTTAATGTCAGCTCGCGAGCCGACCGAGCTAGTCCGGATGGGTTCGGACTCATCGCGAGTTGGTTCGTTCAGTCCGTTTTTATTTGGTCTTTTATTTTTGCAATCCAACTCGATAAAAAGTGAGCCAGTTCGCGAGTATGGCTCATTTTGCCATCACTAAAAATAGTAGAAAAAGAAAGCAAAAATGAACCAATTTAAACTTCTAAATGATAATCCACAACCGGAAGAGTTCACGCATATGAATCTTGCCCATATTTTTTCTACGTCACATTTACCTTATCTGTATGATATAAGTATTATTTGATTTAAAAATTTATATTGTTTTCTATTTCGGGGTGGCAAATAAATATGTGAAGGTGTATGCTTTTGCTAGTTTTTTGTGGTGTACTCATATTATAATTTTAGGTTTATTAAGAATTCTAAACTTTATAAATATCTTAAATACATGGTTGATGGATTAAAATGAAATATGTTATATATTGGATACTTATAATTATTCACAAGTTTTGATATCAGTACGACAATATATGTAAAGTATTTATTATTAGGATAATCTAATATAGATATATTGAATTTAAAATTTTAAATATATATATATATATTCAGTAAAATAGAATAATAAATAATTTTATAAAAAATGAATAGAAAAATTTGATTAAATATAATTTCTAAAATTAAATCAGTCAAACATAAATTAAATGTGAAATATATTTGATTTTAAAAACTTAATTAAAAATATTTTTTAAAGAAATATTTTTAGTCAAAATAAAATTAAATCTAAATTCAAATAGGATTCGAATCAAATAGAAATTTGATACATACTATTTCTAAAAAACAAAATATTTAAATAAAAAAAGTTAAACCAAACGAAATAAGATCACACGTATCAGTCCCCTCGTATTGAAGTCATGAGATAGCAATATAAATATAAATATAAATGCATACACCATAAAACTTAAACCCAACCCTTATCCTTCGTAATATATTTGTTTGCTTCACCTCTAATTCATATTTTAATAAAATAAATGAAGATAAATTTACTTAATAATTTGATTTTTAAAAAAAAAATAGACAAGACAAGCGATCCATCGCCGACATGGGTTTGGCGAACAAAACTCCCAAGCCGATCTCTTCACGTCCCTACATTTGTTTCCCTAACCCTCAAGTTAGGTATTGTGTCGTTTTCTTCTACATTATTGCCTTTGTAATTTAATTCATTAATTAATTATAATGAAAGATTTAAGTTAAATTACCCGTCTTTTCTTGTCTGTTTAAGTGTTGTTTTCAGGATTTAAAAGCAAAATGTATAGAATAAAACCATCAAGAGTTGTGTTTGATGAGATGTGGTTGTGGTCCAATGTCCGAAAACTTTATATTATTCAGGAGAATTGTTGTTACAATTAATTTTAAAATATGTCTGTCCAAATTTACAGAATAAAATTTTATATATTATTATAGTCGAATGGATTTAAATATATAACATAGTTTTTTAAATTCTTAATTCATATTAGAATGGATAAACTTAAACCAAATAAAAAACACATTAATATCTCAACTCTATATACGAATTAAAATTATTCATATTTTTCAATATTTTCTTTATCACATATAAGATTGGATGACTTTCAAATTTCGATTTCAATATTTATCATAGAAACTTCTGTTTACTTTGAAAGACTTAAAAAAAAATCTTCAAAATGATTATATATCACGTTAGGGTTGTTTATATCTCAACCGTTGGAGAAAGAATACATAATTGAAAAAAACAGACAAACCACGGTGATACAAAATATACAACTATATATGAAAGAATTGTTCGCTCACAAAAACTATATATAGATAATATAACATGTTACAACTTATACTTATTGGAACGAACTACTGTTTGTTATTGTGCAATAAGAGATGTTTAAACCTCATTAGCATCATATATTATTTAATTGGACATGTCATATGACTTTAAGCTAGGGTTTCAAGTAATATAATTAATATTTAATTTATCTATATAAATTACTAATGTAAATTATTTTCTTAATTTTGAAGGAGAACCTTGACGTATCGGTCAAAGTGATGTCGTTGTGTGATTTGGAGATCACGCGTTCGAGTCATGGAGGTAGTCTCACACAAAATATTTCAACGAGAGATAAGGTTTGTCTACGATTAGGGGTGTCAATCGGGTCGGCCCGAGTCCGCAATCGATCCGGAAGTTTCGGGCTCAAGCTCGGGTCGACCCGATTTTTAATTAAGCCCGAAGTCCGGTCCTATGCATTCCGGGCTCGGGTCGGGACGGATTAGGCCGGGCCGACCCGCAGGTCTCTCTTTGTAAATGTTTTTTTTTTAAATTTTCGAACTTTCGGACCGACCCGATTCGAGTTCGAAGTCCGATTTGAGTCCGATCCAAAAACCCGATTTTTTCGGATCAAAAAACTTCGGCTCGAAGCCCTTTATTTTTTGTGTTGAACCAGGCCGGACTTCGGACCTCGGACCCAAATTGACACCCCTATCCATCAGCTCAAGAGGATAGTCGGGTGCTCTTTTTCACTTTTTTTTTTTTAAATTTTGATTAGAAAAAAAAAAGATGTGGAGAGATGTGTGATGGTAATTGAGCGGTGAAATAATGAGAAATGATAGGGACAAATTAAATTGAGGAAAAAATTCAAATGCACTTTTCCTCTTTTTTGGATTTCAACCTTTGCTTTCTTTGCAAGCGAACAATCATATCATATCTAATGGCATGACATTGTCATGCAAAAACATGCATTAACTCTATTTTTCATCTAATAAAAGGGAATTTAGTTGTGATTAGATTTTTGGAAGGACTTCTAAATTTACTTGGACATATGATCCAATGGATTTAGGATGAGAAATAAATATAAGAAATACATCAAAGCATTTTGAACTGTTTATAAAATCAAATGTTTGAAAATCTAAAATTTTATATTCGCGTACCTATGAATAGAGCGTGTCCTTTCTAAACACAGAGGATGCAAATACATATAGATACATAAATATGTATATGTATTTCTATATATATATATATATATATATATATATATATATGTATAGATATGAACTTTCATATTTTTATAAGTTCATAATATATGTTATGGACAAAGTGGAATCCATGGTCAAACCTTTTTTTTCTTCTCAAATCGAAGCCCTTATTGGAAAATTATCTACGATCCAAAAACGGGTTAAAAAAACCAGTTTTAAAATCTTTATAAAAATCTAAACGACAAATTTGGATGAAATTTTTTCTTTTCTTCATTAATTCTGTATTAACGGATGAAAATTTTCAGATCTATTATTTGGTTTGAAAACCATCGAAATTAATTAATCTTTTAAATTATTTTATTGTTCGCTATTCTCCCTGGAAAAAATTAAAACAAGCAGTTATTATTATTATTATTATTATTATTATTATTATTATTATTATTATTATTATTATTATTATTATTATTATTATTATTATTATTATTATTATTATTATTATTATTATTATTATTATTATGATTAAACTATATTGAACGAATAGTTTGCACGTAAAACTCTGATCCGAGACATTTGTATATATAAACTGAGCCCGTTATAGATGGACCGGGCTGAGTTAAACCCACCCATTTGACATCTTATTATTATACGTATGATTTTGGGTTTTGTTTATTATATAATAATATACGCAGATAATAACTCAAAAAAATCAATTATTAACTATTACTGATGTAACTGAAAATCTCCATAAAACCCTAAAATGCAAATTTGTATGTAAAATCTCAATTTCGTTATTTTTACATCTAATTTCTAGTTTAGTTTTTTCATAGTTTTTTTTCCAATTAAATGGGATACTAATTATTTTTTGAGTTACAGTTCGTATATTAATCAATAAAATCTAAAACGATCAAATCTTGAATGTTAGATGAGCATATATGAAAGTCATCTTATAGTTCTTACTATTATAAAATTCGATCGTATGATATAAACATTTTTGTAACGATATATTTTATTAGTTTTTATATTTTATATGTAAATTACTATTATCCAATTACAATTTTTTTTTTCTGTTAATGAATATATTATATATATACCAATATGGAGAGAAAGATTATCAATTCATTTGGTTGAAGATGTTAATATATGTTAGGCATGTAAAAGCTCTGCTATTGTGTTTTGTTTCATTTTTTAAATTTAAATATTCACAAACACATTTAGATATATTCGACAAAGTTTTAGAATAGTTATTGCAGGGGATTTTCAAATATTTTAGGACCTTATCCAATATATCTTAAATTTCATATACAAAAAGTTACATTTTATCTAAAAATATATAAATATTAAATTCAAATTTTTAAAAATTTTAACATTTAACTTTATTAAATATAAATTTACAAACCATCGTATTATACAATAAATATAAAATTCAAACTAAAATATCATTGCGAGTAATATGAGATAATAAAATTTTATAGATGAAAAATGTTATAAAATAAAAAACAAAATATTTTATATCATAGTTTTCTATTAAAACAAGACTGAGTTGTTGTATTTTTCATGCATTGTTGGAGAATCAGCTCAGTGAACAAATAAAAAAAATAAACAAGACAAAAAAGATTCAATATGAAGCTCTTGACAGCATTTTATTAGATCATCAAAACCAAGAATTCGCATACAGATTCTGTAAGTTTCTCCGATCCGAGTTCGGGATGACTCGGTGCACTAACTCACCCTACGTTATCTGCCATCTCCTCTGAGCCGACTCGGAGAAACTCAACCCTTATATAACAAAGAATAATGTACGGATCTTATTTATGCACATTTACCGGTTCGCATTTAACCGGATTGAGCTGACCCGGTTTAGCCCGTCGGTTACCCCATCGCTTTTTCAAAAGACGCGTGAATCAACGGCCGGGATTCACTCCAGGGATTAACCTCTCTCCGAATGCTTACGTGGCAAGAATCTTCGACGGTTTTAAACCGGGTTGAGTGAACCGGTTCGGTTTGGGAGATAAATCGGAGTGCCTCCTCGAAAACCGACTCGTCGCAGGGGATGGTTAGCGGACCATGGTTCGTGAACCCGAACTCTTCAGCGGCTTGTACGAGGAGGTTGTTGAAGACGGGATGGTTCAGGTACGTCAAGCGCACCACGTATCTCGTGGACCTGCACCCCACGATGATCACCACGTGTCCCGATGGCACTGGTCTCTTGGCAAGCGACTCGCGCGCTTTGTTTCTCCACCGTCGGATCATGTGGCGGAGCCGTACGATGTGACGGATGTTTGAGCATTTTCCGAAGACAAACGACATTTTCCTGGAAAATCCTTGCGGGCGAGAAAATTCTTGGGATACATGATGGTTGGAATTTAAACGGCGTTTATATGGAGAAAGGTGGTGGAGAAGTGCCCTTGGTTTTTGAGATAATTACGAAACTGGGACTACTATTGCTACACTGATTAGGGGGCAAGGGCTTAGCTTGGAAACGTGATTAGATTAAGATGACGTTGGATTTTCATGTAATAATTAATTATTATAAATGTAAAGTATAATTAAAAATGAGATAAATAGATATTGGAAAAGATTTGGGATGTGGGTACATTGCATTGGTGCAACTGAAACGACATATGTGTTATAGGTGCCGCTCTAATATTTGATCTGCACATTATTATTATTAATTTATTATTATTATTATTAGTATTAGTATTATTAAAGTAATTCATGGACTAAAATATGTATCATATCACATACTGCTAATCCTAATGCCTCTCCATCTAATATGCCATAAGCATATCATTGCAAAAGTTTTATTCTTTGCGCGATAAAACTAATTTCTTTAAAATAACTTAAACCTCATTAAATTAAACTCGGACTATATTCACTTTGTTCATTCAAAATTGGTATTGTATTCCATATTTTTTATTTTAAAGTTCTTTTAAATATTTAATCCATTTAACTCAGATTTGTAATTTGATGAACCTAATCATCTAAACTCGTCTCTGTAATCTTATAAACAACTTGAACTTTCTAAACTATTTTTAATTCACTTAGTTACCATACATGATGATGATGAATTACCCCAAAATTTTGCCACAAATCAAGTTTTCATAATTTTGTGTAACACAAGATGATTATATTAAATAAATAGACAATAAATCAAACTAAAAAAGTATTCACACATGACAAAAAGTCACAACCCACCACATGGCAGAGTTGGGACAAAAATTAGAATTATATAATAACATTTTCACATGACAAATAAAAAATTTAAAATTAAGAATGATATTCTACATCAAAATAGTTATTGACCTTAAAAAAAATTCAATTTGGAACGGCCGTGTATTTAAATCGTAGAAAGTTTGTATTGTGCCGGGCGGACCTAGCTTGTTAGCAATGGGTCCTATGCTCCCATTTCTTTTATTAAAAAAAATTAACTTCATTATAAAATTTATAAATTTAAAATAAAAATTATTAAATCCCTCCATAATTTCAATTTATCTCTTAAATTATAGTAAAGTTTGTATTGACCCCAATGAAAAAGTTTTCTAGGTCATGTGCTATGGATGATGCCACTTTACAATTATGTAAGAAGAAAATAATGAGGATTTTAACAAAAAAAAAAATTATTTATAGGTAATGATTTATATTCGTAATCAATGAGTACTAAACCGTATCTGATGATACCATTACCATCCGACCAATCAAAGCTACTCTTGTTCCTTTATTGGTCCATTAATTATGCAAAGCACCACACCTAAATTGCAACTTAACAAATTTTAAAAATATCAATAATACATCAACTTAAAATATATTTAGTTTTGATCTCTCAAAATTTTAATATCTCATCATCATGGAATCTAAAACTTACCTAAAGCTGTTATCTACCATTTGTTAGCATGAAAATTTTGTATCAAACACATAAAAATTTATTTCTTTAGTTTAAAAAATTACTATGTTTGTTAAGAAAAATATCAAACATTCAAAATTAGCATTTTCCAGATGCGATGAGTGATCTTTCACCAAATTTTCATTAACTTGTTAGATTATTTTCGTATATAAAAAGATTAATTCGATTCTTTTGGATGGAATTATATACACTCGAAGCTTAAAATTTAGTCAGATATCTAAATAGCACAAAAAAAAAAATTAAATCCCTTTTTTTCACCCATTCATTTCCACACTCGAGCACTCTTTATTCTCTCGGACAGCCAATCAAACATCACAAAACAACCACAGAAAACTTGTCTGAAAGGAAAGTCTGAAAGTAAATAAGAGGAGATTAAAAGGCATTATGTGCACAAAGATTTAATTAAAAATGGAATTAAATTGAATCAACATGTTCGGATCATTCTTCATAAATAGCAGGCAGTCTCTCTTCTTCACCTCTGCCATCTTTTCTCTGATCAAAACACCAATTATCATGTCATACGAGTCGGTCTCGAAATTATATCTTTTTTTTTTCCACAATAACATAATTTCTATTCATATTTTTTTTAAAAAAATAATCTTGTACCCATTCCGAACACTAGGCTACGCCAAGATTTCGTTAACCCAAAGTCCAAGATTGATTTAGAGTTGATTGCCCCAAACGTAAAACATATGCAAAAGCATGAGAATGATTCAAAGAAAATGGAAAGGAGTAGTGTTCTTACCTTTTTTGCTCTGCTGAATACGCGGAGAGACTTCTTTTACGTTGGCAATGGGCAAAGAATGCCTCTTTTTGACGTAAAAGTCTCCTTCTTGAACGTCTGGACTCGATTTCGGGGAGCCGCTATTTGCTTGGAGCTTGGCTCTTGCAGATTCCGTGGCTTGCATGAACCGTGGGAGCGGGTTACTGCTCGTGCTGTTTCTGCCTTCCTGATCAGATCCAAAGGAATCCCGTTTCTTCCCGCTTGCTGAATCTCCCGGGGATTGCCCCGGATTAGGTTTTAACGGAGATTTCTTGTCAGATACCGATTTTTGGTTCTTCTTTGGGTCACGCTTGTCGGGTCTGTCCCTCGGGGACTTTGTAGATACCTGGGTAGAAGGTGTCTGCAGCAACTCTTGAGTTCTAGATGAAGCTTCTTGAGAGGGAGGCTTTTCTTGGAAGCTGAGCTCTTTTCCGGGTTCAGATGTGTTCACTTTGAGCTTCTGTTCGATCTGAGACACATCAATTGATACAACTGAACCCTCGGAGCATTCATCAGGAGCGTGATCCAGATTCTCCACATGTTCTTCTGTTAAACGGGTCAGCAGATTTGCTGATATATCTTCAGTACCTTTATCCTGAATTTCCTTTCCCAACCCATCTAATTTGATCCCGGCTTCTGACCTGTCAGGAGAATCAAGGGTTGAAGATATGGAGAGTTCAGTTCCACACTCAGATCCTGCATACCTAGGAATTTTCTCTTCCTTTGCAGAATCAACCTCGGAAATAATATCGTCCATCTTAGATACACCATTACTGTGATGGGTAGAGCCAACAATCGTGGTAGGCATGGAATTCACTTTTGGAGCTGGTTCATCAGTGTCTGACTCACCGAAGATCAATGCTGTGTCACTTGCATTTCTAGAATCCGATCCAGAAGTAAACTTTGACCTGCCATTTCTCAACCGATCAGAAAGTTTCTGCTGCTCAACAAAATGATTCGCTTTTTGGCTGTTTGATAGCGAATGAACCTCAGATGAAGCTCTCCCTGCATCATCATCATCAGCAACAGAGTCGGTAACTCTGTGCAGATGGAAGTTTATTTTCTCTCCTTCATAGGTTATGAGATTCTCCTCGCTTTCAGATGGCATCAGAGTTCCATTCTCTAACTTAGACTCGGTAGCCTCATGAGAAAAATTAGTGGAAACTCCAGGAAAATTGTATAATTTTTCGCTTTTCTTTCTCTCTTGTGGATCAATAATAGAATCCAATTCAACAGTGTTCTCCAAGGATGTGCACTGAACATCGGGTTGAAGCTTAGTAACATCCTTAAGCTTCAAAAGTTTCTTTCGTGCCTAAGAGATGAGGAATCTAATCAGCTAAAGGTAAAAAACTAGCAAATAAACAACTCCAAAATATGTTGAGAATAGACTCACCAAAAATCCCCGAATAGTGGCCTGAACAATAACCGCCGCCGATTCTTGCACATTTTTATCAGATTTTGCATCAAATTCTTCCCCGTGTCGCACATTAGAAGCATGCTCAGAGGCTATGGACTTTGCCGAGACAACCAGCTGTACTTTGTCATCACTGCATTGTGTCAAACAGGCTTTTCCAGAATCATTGGAGCTCCCAGTAAATTGGGAGCTGAAGGTGACAGATCCATCTGGGTTTTCCTTGTGTCCATAATTAGCTTCTTCAGTTATAGCAATGTTGCTTAGCACACGAGGGCTCGTGGACTTCTTCCGGAAACTCCATCCCGATTTGTCTTTTGTAGTCTTGACCTTGAGAGAAACCACAATACAATTCTCAATAGAGAATCAATCAGATAAACATCCAAAACCAAATCCATTCCCAAAATTATCTAAACCAATCCGACAGCGAAGAAGTAAGATCATAACACAATCGAGCGAAACCCGAACAATTGTACAATTCAGTTGAATTCCTAATATGAATTCATCTGAAGGCGTCGAGTTACCCAAACCGTCCAATCAGATCCTCTTGACTACACTGACATTCATATACACAAACGACATGCGTAAGTGTGTACACAATACGTATAATTCTGCAATCGTAGTTAATGCATGAGTGATTCAGGCATTTACGGGGAACAAACAAACTTTAAACTAGAATCGACACAAAGCACAGCTGTGAGCTACATTTCCCGAACTTCCTAAACACAAATCTCCCCAAAACCCTAAGCATTCAAAAATCAGAGAGAAACACCGCTAGTGAAACAGCAAATTGCCGAAAAAAAAAGAGGCATCGATCGATCCAAGCTCGAAGAAAACACGGAGAGAGAAAAAAACGGTTACCTCGGAGATACGGAGATCGTTGTCGTTGCTGTTCTCACCGCCGGAATTGCGACCGCAAGCAATGATTCTCAGGCAAGCAGAGGACCGCCCCATTCTTGAAGAGCTCGGGATTCGAGTAAGAACAATTCCGATGATGTTTATGAGGTGGAAGCGGACTTGAAAAGGTGGAGTTAAATGGAGCAGGGAAAGTGGGGTTGAGTCCGCTCCATATCTCACGTTCCGAGTTTCCTTAGTGATGGAGTGAGAAAGAAAGAAGTGGAGAGAGAGAGAGAGAGAGAGAGAGAGAGAGAGAGAGAGAGAGAGAGAGAGAGAGAG